TTCTACAAGTGGACCGAACGTGGTATGTTTTGTACATTTTGACTTCAACGTCGCAACTTCCAAAAGTGCTCCGAACTTCGTGTGTCTTGTACATTTTGACGTCGAAATTTGCTTCACGCCACAACGGCGTGCAATTTCTTATCTCTCATCCGGCTAGCTGGCTCCGCACCCGCTGCTTTAGCGAGCCTACTTTTCGACCCTCCGGAGCCACAAATCATTGGAAAAACACAGTGTTTCGCGACTTTCCTACCTTTTCGCGCATCTGCATCTTCTTTCTTCTGACTCTTTCTCTTCTAATCTTTTTCTTCTCTCTGCTTTTGTGCTGCTCTGCTGTTCATCTGTCCATATTGTCGGAAGTTTGACTTCTAAATTTCCTTCGATTATGTTATATTCATTTGTTTTATCTGTGAAACAACATGATGCAGTTTCAATATCGAATTGAAATTGCACCTTACCAGCTGTACCATCGTACAACCTTAGGAGGCCGTCAAGGGCAAGGGCGTCAGCGGCGTCAACGTCACGGGAGAGATGGAGAGCACCGTCACAAAGGCGTGGGGCCTCAGTGGTTCATGTGATTGGAACCAGGGCTGTTGAAACTTGAGATCTGGATCTTACTGGTAGGGGATCATACTAGTTGCGGAGCTACTCGAGATCTACATCAACTCTACATCTACCACTGACTAACTGGGATACCATGATACTGCATGATACTTGTACCATTCTGTACCAGCAGATGTAAGCAGCCTCGCTTGTCCCAACGAGCCTAGATCTGTAGTGGAGTGTAGCGTAGTGTAATGTAGTGTAGTGTGCTGTAATTTAGTGTAGTGGAGTGTAGTTGTGTAGTTGTAGTTGTAGTTGTAGTTGTAGTGTAGTGTAGTGGAGTGTAGTGGAATGTAGTGTAGTGTAGCGTAGTGAAGTGTAATTTAGTGTGCTGGAGTGTAGTGGAGTGTAGTGTACTGTAGTGTAGTGGAGTGTAGTGTAGTGTACTGTAGTGTAATTTAGTGTAGTGGAGTGTAATTTAGTGTAGTGGAGTGTAGTGCAGTGTAGCTGTGTAGTTGTGTAGTTGTGTAGTTGTATAGTTGTAGTTGTAGTGTTGTGGAATGTAGTGTAATGTAATGTAGTGTAGTGGAGTGTAGTGTAGTGTAATGTAGTGTAGTGTAATGAAGCGAAGCGAAGCGAAGCGACATCTGAACCTCCAAAAGTGGTCCGAAACCCTAGTGTTTTTAACATTTTGACTTGGAAATGTGCTTTGTGCCACAACGGCGTGCACTTTTTCGACATCTGAACCTCCAAAAGTGGTCCGAACGTGGTGTGTTTTCTACATTTTCACTTTGAAATGTGCTTCGCGCCACAATGGCGTGCACTTTTTCGACATCTCAACTTCCAAAAGTGGTCCGCACCCCTGGTGTTTTTAACATTTTGACTTCGAAATGTGCCTCGCGCCACAACGGCGTGCACTTTTTCGACATCTCAACTTCCAAAAGTGGTCCGAACCCCTAGCGTTTTTAACATTTTGACTTCGAAATGTGCTTCGCGCCACAACGGCGTGCAATTTCTTATCTCTCATCCGACCAGGTGTCTCCGCACCCGCCGCTTTAGCGAGCCTACTTTTCAACCCTCCGAAGCCACAAGTCATTGGGAAAAACACACTGAATAAACTTTTCTACCTTTTCGCGTACCTGCATCTTCTTTCTTCTGACTCTTTCTCTTCTCTGATCTTCTCTCTTCTGCTCTTCTCTCTTCTACTCTTTTCCCTTTTGCTCTTCTATCTTCTACTCTTCTCTTCTCTCTGACTCTTCCCATCTCTGCTTTTCATCTGTCCATATTGTCGGAAGTTTGACTTCAAAACTTTCTTCGATAAGGGTTCCCAATTTTTACAATGGGATGGCCGCACACCACAAAAACCAAGTTTTTGGACCATATCCAATCCATTCTCCCATGCATCATTCGCTCTGTAACACTGATCCCAACAATGTCGTTGTACAATTCATTCAATTTTGTTGGCTTTGCATTACACCTTGCACATTTTGTTCAGATCCACAGTCCACTGCAAGGTGAAAAGAATTTTAACTGTCATCCCTTACAGGCTCCTCAAGCGAAACAAGCTCCACCAGAGACTTGGCTGCCAGATATGGGTCCCTAATTTCACCATGGGAAATCGAAAGGAAATCAAATGAATTCAAATGGGAATCAAAGACCTTCGAAAGGTACACGCCCCAAAAAATGGAGTAACATATGTTCTCCCCATAGGGTTTGATGGTTTGATGGTGGTGAAGTTCGTCCCAAAACATGAGGTGTAAACCATGCCACTTATCCAGTGTCAGAATTAGGGGACTTGTCCCAGATTCTGAGCGAACTTTTCAGGTTGGTGACTCGTGACAAGATTCAGCCAGGTGTACTTGGTGCGCCCAGCGCTGCCAGCGCTGCGAGGATGGCAGAGAGGGGCAGAAAGCTGGGTGGGGCCGATGGCTCTTGGCGCAGGTCATGGCTCCGTCGTCCCAGACCAAGGAACCACGGATTCATCGACATTTTCATGGGATGAATGGGATAGAACTGTGGAAATACACTGTGGGGAGTTTATTCCTAGAATTTTAAAGGTTTGAACTTTGAATGGGATTTTAGGAGTTTGAGTGGCTCAAGAACATGCTGGGCAAAGAAGACCCATATGGAAAGGGGCAAGGGATGTTTCAGGCAGGCACTGGCCAAATTCTGGAGTTTAGCTGCGACCTTTTGATTTTATAGAGAGAATGGGTCCATACTGAAGCCGAGCACATCCACTAAGTACCCCCACGTCCCAATTTCAAACTGTGAAAAGGCAATGTTGAAGCAATTTCAAGCTGTGAAAAGTACATCCACTAAGCACCCCCCATCCACAAGTACCCCCACATCCACTAAGTACCCCCCACGTCCATCGCGCAGTGTTGAAGCAAAACCTCTCGATAAAGTCGAACATATTTTCTCTTTATTTGGGGGCCCTTCAAACCTGAATTTTACAATTTTGGTAAGTGCCTCCCTGAAACATCCTTTGCCCCTTTCCATATTGTGAGGCGCAGCAGGACTCCAATATAGACAATTCAGGTTTGAAGCACCCCAAATAGAGACTAATTTGTCGATTTTATAAAGAGGTTTTGCTTCAACATTGCGCGTGGTGACGTTGCCTTTCCGCTGATTGAAATTGGGACGTTGGGGTAATTAGTGGTGTACTCGGCCTCAATATGGACCGTTGTTTTTAGAACATCAGCAAGTTTCAAAAACTGGGTTCCGCCCATATGTTTGTCCCTCCATGCCCTCTAAACTTCAAAATTTGGTCATTACATGCCTCAAGCATTTTGAGGTTTTTCCATATATTGTGAGGCGCAGCAGTACTCCAAAATGGAAAATTCAGGTTTGCTTTAATAATTTTTCGATTGTATCGGGAGGTTTTGCTCCAACAATCCGGGTGCCAAAAAGTGCCCCAAAATGGCAATCGTTTTCCATTTCTTCGGGTATGTGATGTGTTTTTCATTTTTTGTTTCTGTTTATTTTTGGATTGAACCTGATTCAGCAAGTTATGGAAATTGATGGCATCCCAAACCACAACCGTCCAAAAAAGAATTCTCTATAAAACCAAGGGCCCGGGCCCAGCTTGTATCGACATGACTTTCAAACAGCTGCGGTTCCACTATAAAATCAGAGACCAGGTACCCATATTAAGGGTCCACATGTTTCAATAAAATTTGTGAAACCACCATTTTGGAGATCCAGATTTTATAGTGGACCAGGTGAATGACCTTAAAAGACGTCTCCAAATGTGACCCTGGTTACAAAACAGGCATTTGTAGCCATGTGGTGCCTTTTGTTTCTTGATTTTATAGAATCGTATTTCTTGCAATCTGATTTTTCTTGATTTCAGAGAGATTCTCAGACTGTACCCCTTATATCCCCTTATTATAGTTGGACCCAGGTACTTCTATAGAATGGCGGTCTTTGGGAGACCGTTGAAATTCACAAGGGGATTTTTTTATCATTGCATCAAGCATTGCTTGTCAACCATTGACCGTTCAAAACCAAGCGTCTTAAGCCTTAAATATTTAACAACCAACTGCGGAATGCGCCAACAAGCACCAACACCGGCTGACATGAATTTAGACAATAGGATGGGATATAGTGGGTCTACGTCAACCTGCTTGCTGGTCATGTTATTGTATGTTATTAATATATGGTGTGTCGCTGACCAGAAAGGTCAGTTTGGGGGTTCCGCGGTGAAAAAAATTGCTGGTCTAAATGGTGTATTGTCTCCTTAGAACACAATTCATGTTTTATTTTGGTTTCATGAAATTTCATGAGTGTTTTTTGCCTGATGTAGTTGTGGATTGATAGCACCATCATAGACCCAGAGTCAGGAAAGGGACGCCTGTGGGCCTGGTCATCACAGTTTCCAGAGTCCAACATTTCTGGTGATGGAAAACATGGGAAAACTGAAAGCGGAACCACCAATTTGCTCTGGATTTTCTATGAGGTTCCCTTAAAACAAATCAGTGAGTGTTTCCGGCTAAAACCGCTGTTTGCTGGAGAATCATGGAGTATCCGTATGATGAACGGGGAGAAGCCGACTGGCCCGTCATAGCCTCCAATTGAATAGTTTTCTATGAGTTACAACACCTTTCTTTGACCTCAAGGTAGTTTCAATATGTTTCAATGATGTTTTTGACTTAGCAATCAGCTCAACAGTGCCCAGGTACTTGGGGGTTCAGTTGCACTTCAAGAGTGGTTGTATAAGCTGAATGTAGCCCCGTATCCCAACTTATGCATGCCTATGGTGATTGTAATTTCAAGTTATATTGATGATTGTTACCCTCTGGTAATCTAACATAACTATGGAAAATCACCATTTTGAATGGGAAAACTCACTATTTCAATGGCCATTTTCAATAGTTTTTTGTATGTTTACCAGGTCGGGTATCCCATTTGCAGCCCCAAACATCTTCGGAAAAACCCTCTGCCGCCCTGATGTTCCTGAGGTTTTGAGCTCATCACCGACCCTCCTCAAAGCAACATTGTGCTCTACAGATATATCCCCAGGTGCCGATGGGATGTTGACACCAAATTTTCAGGATCTCCATCTGTGGTTAACACACCAAACATGAAGAAGCATTACTCGTACCATCAAATGGGGACAGAACCAGAAAAGGTGAACATGTCCCATTTGCTCATTTTTGGATCAACAATCACCCATCCAGGTTTAGTGATTCAACATCTCACCAACTTTTTTTGGTTTGTTGGCTCATTTTTTCTATGTGGATTGCCTCACGTCACTTTCCGAAACTTCCGGCTGCGCCGAAACGCATTCTTTCGGCTCACACATTGAATGCCGGGCTGGTGCTGGAGAATGAAGATATGTTTGGTGGATATGGTCCCTAGTGGTCCCTACTGGTAGAAAATCAATGGAAAAATGGTGATAAACCCGACATTTGGCCAGACTCTGGGCCAGACTGTTGAGTCGAATTACGCCAGTAGTGGTGGCTTTTGTTTGCAAACCACAAAGCAAGCATCCAATGGGCTCCTCGTGGAAAACAAGCTATGGCACTATGGAATTCTATTGCTGTCAACAAATGGACTCTTCCCCAGGGCTTCCTTGATTTCAACACATAAAGATCTTAAAGCATGTGCCCACTTTCCACTTTTTTTTCGGGGCACAAAAAAACCACAACATTCCACACCGCCATGGCCCCGCTGCTGTTGCTGGCCCTGGCGGTCACGTTGACAGTGGCGGAGGAGGATGTTTGCACATTGGTGCAGCCCCGCAATTCGCGGCCGAAGATTGCGTCGCCTCGGATTGAAACATCAAGAAGTTGGGAATTTTTACCAGAAAACGTCTGGATTTTACCATCAAAAATAGGATTTCCCAGAAATTTATGGTTCTTTGAGGAACATGACGTTCTGCACCAAGGGATGGAATGAAGATTTTTCTGGAGGTTACTCCATTTTGCCGCATTCAAATTCACATAAACAATACCCTCTGGTAAACTAACATAACTATGGAAAATCACCATTTTTAATGGGTAAATCAACTATAGATTGCCATTTTCAATAGCTATGTTAGTTTACCAGAGGGTATCGCAAACATTTTTAAACACACAACCCCGAGTGACAAACAAGAACTTTATTTTTTGGGTGTGCTTCACGCGAACCAAGTGAAACTCCGAAATCTGAGGGCCCTGGTTTCAATGATATTTGGATGGTTATGTGACTTCACATGACATCACCATCAAGTAGAATAAGGGAGTCATGCCAAAGTCTGAAACCTGGTTGCTTTCAACATATTGGCTCCGCCGGGGGGGTTTGCCCGGCTTGGAACAAGGTCGACTGTGACTACATGTGATGAGTATCCGCAGCCGTTTGTTGTTCTTGTAGTCATGGTGTTGATTTTACTGTGTTTTTTCATATAAAATGTGGTTGTTCACAAGTAGACTTCATATCTTTTTTTTCAGATGCAATTGATCATTGAATGTTTTGACAATGTCCAAACTTGAGTTTTTTTTGCCAAATCTGGCGGAAAAATCAACAATCACCTGTAATTTACAGCGTTTCCATTTGACACGATTTGCATACATATATAGACAGACATGAAGTATACATATATATATATATCACATACACCAGAAGTAAACAGAAAGAGTCAGACAGAAAGGAGACACATGGCAAGAAGAAATACATTGAACCCAATCAAGATGAGGAAACGATGGACAATCAAACATGACACTGCGATTGCGTGAAACGTTTGCACATGACACACCAGCAGCGTACCATGTGCACAATGAACACACCAGCAGCGTACCATGTGTACACATGAACACACCAGCAGCGCACCATGTGTACACATGAACACACCAGCAGCGTACCATGTGTACACATCAACACACCAGCAGCGTACCATGTGTACACATGAACACCAACGTTGACACACCCCACCCCACCCCACCCCACCCCACATGTTAAAATTCCGGGCAAACCCCCCCGGTAGACCCAACATATTGTAGTGCAACTTATCGATATGACCTTCTGCTCCTGGATTTTTTTTTGGGACATGCTTTTCCCATGTTTTTATTTTGTGTTGGGAGGATCCTCCAAGTCCCGAATGATGATTTTTTGCGTGCCCCAGGAATCTGGTGGCAACTCAGTCTGCGACAGCGATGGATGGAAGCCAATTGACAAAGCTCATGCGGCTGAAACAGGCTTCCTGTTTCCTGCCCCACTCTGGATTTGATGACTTGAAAATGGGTGCAAAACTGGGTTACGGTTTTACACCGTTGGATAAGAAAACAGAATACCCTCTGGTAAACTAACAGTTTGCTATTGAAAATGGCGATTCAGAGTGAGTTTTCGCATTAAACATGGTGATTTTCCAGTTCGCAAACTGTTAGTTTACCAGAGGGTAAAGAAATTTCCAGAATACCCTGGGGTTCTGAAAGGTCAATAGCCGATCCATTTTGGGCTGAGGGTAGAAGTTCTGGCTCCGGCTCCTGGAGCCCTCTGTTTATCCATGGGTTTATCATCACTAAATTGCCATAGACGAATGAATAATAGTGAGAATTAAACAAGGGATTTAGAGTACGGCAATTTTCATTTATATACTTAATAATAAGTATAATAGTATTGGGAAAATATAGCCAGCTCATCATGATGATGAATATGACTTAATTATACCTAATTCATATTCATCATCATGAGCTTTCTATATTTATCCCATTCCATCCCATGCATGCTCAGAACATGATATTAATGATGGTTGGTTTCATTCCTGTTTCCCGTAATTGGTTTCAGGGATCAGGGAAAATATACAAGAGACTTCTATATTTGGGTACAAATCCGCCAGTTTCCAGTTCAGATTTCTTCTAAACCAATTCATTGACATTTTCATGAAGTACATAAATCCATATTAATCCCATCACATAGTGATTCTACTAGTATCTCATAGAATATCATAAAATTGGCACATTGGATAAAAAATTATCGTTAGTTTCATCCATATTTTTGATGCTCAAAACTTTTCCGACATGCTTTCACCATCCCGTAGGATCCGGCTGGAGCATAGCAGCACCATGGATCCGTCATGGGATATGATTCGCCCATTGATTAAATATGGTTTTCCCCTTATGATTATATAACTAACAACTACTTATATGATTAATCATATAACTAATATCACCTTAGTTTATGATTATTGGTTACATATAACATCATATAACTAATACTGTTTTCCCATGATATCTCCATGATCAGTATGCCATAACCACTGCAGGATGGGGCCCCCCAGTGATGTTAGTTGGTTTATAAACCATTATAATCACCATTAACTATAGTTATATCTACCATAAACCATTGTTAAGCCACTTAGAAACCAACTTAGCTATCTTGGGGGCCCCACCCTGTGGGTAGTATCGCCATTATATGTCCACATCTGTCATTTTTGCCATTTCCGGTGCTTTTTTTCCCCAAGATCCATGGCAAATCTCCGCCAGGAGCTGTCTCAACTCAGCGGCGAGCTGGACGGCATCCTGGGCGCCGTCGGAGGCGCCGGAAGCCGTGCCGGAAGCCATGGAAGACGAGGCGACGACGACTGGGGAGCCATGGTAGTCCCAAAATGGTGAGTTATCATGGATCAAATCCATGGATAGCTATGTGAAATAGCATAATTATAATATATATATATGTTCATATACTGTGGGTAAAACATGGTAAAACAATAGTAAACCATCCCCAAAATCACCATAAATAGGTTGTATAAAAGATTCCCAGTCATGGGCGGTTTATGACATTGTTTTACCCACATTATAACCATGGGTATATCATGGGTTTACCAGTATGTGGCCATAATTATTCCCATGCAAAAGTAGAGATGGGATTTAAAAACCAGTGAATTTTCATGCGGATTCCGGGATTAGGTTTTGCAGTAAAAATAGGTATTGGAACTAGCCTCTGGTTATGACTAACAGTTAGCGAACTGGAAAATCACCATGAAATTAATAGGTAAACCATCTATTTCTCTTGGGCCATGGCTTCCATGGCTATGTAACAAACAACCAGAGGGTAGTATTGCAGAAAAAAAAAGGTATTGTTGTCAATAGTCACATATTCCCACTGGGATTAACATTTGGTATCATGGGACATGGAAATTCTTATTCCAATAATGGGGATATGACGGTATGATAATAAGGGGATGATATAAGATATAAGGATATAATGGGTATATCATGATTAATAGTGGTTAGTACATGGGAATAATGGGACTATTTTTCACCATCGCAAATCGGGATTTCATCAAAAAGAATGGTGTAGTGGAATTATGATAGGAATACAATGGGGATTAAATAGGTACGGTCACAATGGCAAACCTGTTTTTTTTCCAGAAAAAAGTACAGGATACCATGGGATGCTTAGAAAAGTTAAGAGGCAACCAGGTATAATATGACACTAAAGATAGGATATATGATATATGATATATGATATATATATGTATATGTACAGTATATAGGGATATGACCATCAGCAACTGGGAATATTTTGGTGATATTTTCATCATTTACCTTTACGGGTGGACCTAAACCGTGAAAAATGTTGATTTCATATGACTTACCCTCTGGTAAACTAACATAGCAATGGAAAATCACAATTTTTCATGGGAAAACTCACTATAAATGGCCATTTTCCATAGCTATGTTAAATTACCAGAGGGTACCAACAATGGTGGTATTGCTTGGGAATATACCGACGAATCGATGGGAATGTAATGGGAATAGCCGTAGCCCTTAAGCATCAAAAATTGGGATTTCACCAACTATGGTGGTATAGCGGGATTGTACTGGGAAAACTCATTAAGACTAGGATGAACTAGCCTGAAAATAGGGGTATTGTATGGATATACAAGTATGAATTGAACTACTGAGTAATCATTTTCATGGAGCTATTTTTTTTGAGGACAAGAGAACATCACCTGATTCTGGGGTTGTGTGGGTGGATTCTACCATGGATATTCCTAGTTTTGGCATCGGGGAACACATTATGTCAACCTAGGAAGAAAAAAAAGTTCAAGAGGATATGTTCTTTACCCTTTGGTAAATGAACATAGACGATGAGAATCACCCATTTTTAATGGAAACTAATCTTCCAACCCCTATCTGCCAGGGTCTATGTTAATTTTCCGGAGGGAGGGTACTTTGAAGGAAACTTCCGCAATCAGTCCACAGACTTATTAATCCGGGGTTGGCATTATGAAGGAATGCCACTGATTATACCGAGATTCTACAAAACCATGTTTGTTCCCGTCCAATAACAAATAGGGGTGTAGTGCAATTTTTCCTCAGAACCTCCAGCAGCTCCCTCATGAAATCGAACGCAAGATACCCACGAATGGTCTTGAAAGATTTGTTTAAAATGTATGCAGCATTTATATAAGTTGCATTACATACAGTTTACTAAGTGTATATGTATATAATAGTATATATGCAAACAAATACATACGTATAAATCCTTATACAAACACACACACATATATATATATTATATATACATACATAATTATATTAATTATAGATCAATATATGTATATAGTTATAATACATATACAGATTTGTGGAGGATGTACCATCCCTTTTGGTGGCTGATTTTTTTGAACACGGCGACGCAGGACCCTCAGGAGACTTGAACATGTTTGGCTCTGATGGACGTCAGAACATCATCATCAACAATAGCAAGATCTACGGCAATGCCACTGGAACACCAACATGGGGGGAGAGCTTTGGGGAACATTTACTTAAATCAGCCAAACACAGACTCAATGGCCATTTCAGGAACCTAAATTGGAGGCACCTACCATATATAAGGCCTATATAAGGCCTATGTAAGGGAATATCCCCACACAATATGGCCTTACATGGTACAGTACCTCCATTTTAGGTTCCTGAAATTCCCATTGACAGACTAAACAACATGAACCCTATTTTCGCCAGATGTATTTTCGCAATACGTAGTTTTTCTATCGGTTTGGGGGTTGTATGTATAGCTTCCCGACGGTCCACGGATTACTCTCACTAAGCCTCGGCGTTCAGAAAACTGGCAAAACTGGTGAATGATTTGTGAATGAACGGATCATGTCTTGCGATTTGGAGAAAAACGAATGCAGGCCCACTTAGACTCCAATTCATCTCAGGACTTTTGCTGACTTATCCAAGTTTACCCAAGCTCAGCCAGATGATTGTTGATCATTATCCCTCGTTCTCTCTGCTCTACTGCACACACTTTCTCCCATTCTTCAGGCGTATATAATAAGGTTGGCCATACAAAGTCAAACCACAACTATTTCTCCTCCAAAACCAGCCAAACAAATGAGGCCATCGCATTTATTCGAGTCGCGGTTGGAGTGTCAGTGGCAGCGACACCACACCCATTTAGCGGTAGACATAATATATCATATGTCCACCACAAATCCAACCAAATCGTTAGCCTGGTAGCCTAGTTGCAAATCATTTTATCTCTCTACTTGAAGGATCGTCATCTACTTAGTCAATGATTAGTTGAAGCGACTGGTCATTAGTCGTCCCCTCAGTTGCTTGGTAGACTACGCTTGTCTTGCAGACCTGCGGGATGATCCTGCAAGTACTGAAAAAACCCGGTTTTCATGGTGTATCTTCAACAACAAATCCCCATGATATCCCAAGTGTATCCCAGGAAACATGGGGGTTTTATTCATGGGAGATCTCCAGGATCCGATTCAATGGAGGTACTAACTTAGTACCATATTTCTGGCCATATGAATTGGGGGGATATCCCCTGAAAAAATCCGGCCTGAAAAATAGGCCAAGATTATATGGAAGTCGGTACCTCCAATATTTATCGGATCCTGAAGATCTCCCATTGATAATGGGTAGATAGACTATAACAGTTATTACAGTTATCTATAACCTATAGTATTCCTATAGTATTCCTATAGTATTCCTATAGTATTCCTATAGTATTCCATGGTTATACCCACAGTAAAAAAAACACCCAACAGCACTGCCACGTCGTTTTTGCGTGGCTCGGAGAGTTTGCCCTGAGGTGATCGGCGGGAACAACGCAGCATCGATCACCTCGGAGCCGAGGGGTTTCGGGTGGCCAGGGTGGCCAGTGGCTGCCAGTGGCAGATGGCCAGGTTAAGCAACATTCAATGGGTGCTACCCTCTGGTTATGACTAACATAGCCATGGTATAGTAATAGATGGTCCATTTATAGATGGTTTACCTATTAAAAATGGTGATTTTCCATGGCGAACTGTTAAATTACCAGAGGGTAAATACCAAAATATTTCAAAATACCAAACGGTATTTGGTATTTGGCCATATTAACATGAACATTAAGTTCTAGATACCAAATACCAACTTAACATCATAAGTTCTAGATACCAAAAGGGTGCTAAATACATCTAAATACCTTAATATTCATCGTTTCCTTTAGCACCCTTGAAATCCAAGTTCTAGGTATTCAATGGCCATTTCAGGAAGCCATGAATATTGGAGGTACCCATTTCTAGGTCTGAAATTCCCATTGAGGTATGACTTGGATGACTTGGTGAGTTTCTAGGAGTTAGTTTATAGGCACCATAAGTATTCATAAGTTGACATAGCCCCTTCCAACTATAGCTGCTATAGAACAAAAGCGACCCGGCTGCAGTGACGATGGATGATGAAAGGCAATGGTTTCGAAATAAGGGAAGCTCTTGAAGTAAGCAACCACATTTGATGAGAAAAACTAAGGTTTCAACTTTTTTCTCAACCAATCCGCAGTACAGATTCTGATCTCCAAACATAGATTCCAAGCAAAAAATGATCAGCAAACTTCAGATTGCTACAAAAGGTTTACTATAAAAAATAGTTTTTAACCCAGTAGGATAGAACTTCAGAACAGTAATCTACCACTAAGTCACTATAAATATATGTATACTGTAGGATGTTTCCTATGGTTTTCCTATGGTTTTCCTATTTCCATCGTTTTTTTCTGGGAGAAAACTCTGTGTTCGTCTTTCCCAAGGGATGATCCAAAAAATGTTGTGACGCTTGGTGGGTGTTTTTCTGTGAAGGAGGCAGTTTTCAAACCACAGGGATTTGACTGAAAAAAGGCGATTGGCCAAAAAAAAACAGGAGCAATCATGAGCAATCCGATTGGTGACTGGAACCATGGAATTTTGAATGACTTTCCATGAAAAGTTGGGAATTTCATAACCGCAACTGACGAACTCCATAATTTTTCAGAGGGGTAGGTCAACCACCAACCAGATTAATAATTTCATGAGCAATTTCGATATTTTGTTGACTCCCACTTGACTATCCGATGATCCATTCTTGGGTTTTCGGTAGCCATCGATCATTTTGGATCAACAAGTTTCCACCAACCAACAAGTCAACTGGTGTTCTACTTACTCTCAGTTACAACACACCTACGGCACATTCCTCCATGTCATATCATTGTTTGTTGGTTAATGATTGCATCTGGATTGTAGCCTATGTGTATCAATTGATATTCCCAGGTAGCATTCCCGGAATTCGTTGAAGGGAAGACTGGTATGTGGCGGACCAAAGCATGGTTTCAACGGCATATCTTTTCCCAACGAAACCAATTCACTGAATCATAGGTTCCCATGCATGACAGCATATCAACCCCAATTAAACAAGAAGTACCATTTTGCAAATTTCGCGAAAGGGTTGGATTTATGGTTCAGTTCACTATATGTCTATTTTTTTTTGTTCCCCCCTCGGAAAATCCCCCATATTTACAAGTGTTCCAGTGCAGGATTTTTTTGGAAATAGCATGCGCGAGTCTTCCATCAGTGCTGGAGATACCCAATGGAAACACCGGGTCTTTATGCCCATCGGTAGCTTGGTATGGTATCGGTACAGGTTCCGATATGGGTACAGAGGGCCGGGTTTCTGTGGCCGGAGCTGTTGGGATCTGTATGGGTCAATGTTGAAGTCCCAAGGGACCCAGTTTTCTGTCCAACTTTACCCTCTGGTAAACTAACATAACTATGGAAAATCACTATTTTTAATGGGAAATTCCACTATAAATGGTCATTTTCAATAGCTACGTTAAATTACCAGAGGGTATCCAGTTTTGGGTCACGGTGGAAACTTTTCAGGTTCGAAGACTATCAAAAACGGCGTTTCAAATTTTAACGACAATATATAATATCAATATGCAAACCCGTGCTACTAATGATCATAACAACAGCACCAATGATATTAACAATATCAGCGACAAAAGCAGTAACACATGCATAAACCAATCTCATAGCAATGATAGCATACCAAGGATAATGATGTTAATATTGTTCAGGCGATGATATTAAAGATGTTGCATAACAAAAACGTTTTCAAAAATGGTAATCATGTATAAAGGGAACTCAACCCAACTGGGAACACACCATTTTTGATGCCCACCCCACATAGCCAAAATATCCATTGCAGGGGGCAGAGGTGACAATCCGATGTCGCAAACGGTGCCTCCGAATCCAATGGCTTTTCAGGTTGTCGCCATTTTTTTTTTCTAGAACGGCCATATTCTGGGGTCTCATCTCCGGCTTCCAGTCAAAAGTGTGTCTTTACATACCAAACTCGGAACATGTTGATGTGGATTCCTCCAAAGATGGGTGAAATTGGGCGAAATTTGGGTATATGCCGCATAGCGGCGATTTTAAACACCATTTTTACCATCCAACAATCAACCAAGGGTTCAGTAAAAATATCATCCCCAATCGGGGTATGAGCAGTAAACCAAACATTTAGTATGGTTTATGGTTGGTTTTTCCTCGTTAGATCACAAAAGATGCGACATGATTTCTATTATTCAATTATATTCCCAACAATACTCCATATTATCCCATTAAATCCCATTGCATCCCGTTGGTTTCCACGGATCCATGAACAAATACCGAGGTAATACCGAAAAATCTGTGGATGTCAGCGCCAACGGCACCGACATCAACCACCACGTCAGCACCGATCTCTTCGACGGAAACGAACACAGCCTGGGCGCCAGCGCGAACTCCCGCAGCTTCACGAGCAGTGGCGAGAACGTTGCGACGTAGTTCGTGAGGACAATGAACCTCCGAACGTGTCTGAAAATGGATGGGTTGAAGCGAAGATTTATAGGAAACCATGGTCTTCATCTCAATTGATCAGGGGTTCTGGTTTCAATTTTGCCACCTCTGAGAATTTTAGTGCCTTGACCCTCGGCTGACCCATCGTAGAAAAATGTGAAATTTGGAGTAGTTACTACTGCTTCTGGAGTTCATGATGATCTAACTAGGGATAGTTTGCATTTCTTTAGTGTTTTAGTGTTGGCCGATTTTTGCCAAACATGTTTCTCGAGATCAAACAAAATCCTGAAGTCAGGGACCCAGCTGATGAGCAGTGTTCAACACCCTGGTCGTCCCTCTTTACTGCTTGGTTGATAGGGATTCCTGTACTGGATTGTGATATTTGCCAATAGATTGGTTAGTATCATCCCTAATGTCAACCCCGGATGAGACTAAACCGTGGTTTATCAAAAAAAGGGGGGTACTCCCCAAATAGTCATTTCATCTGATACTTTTTTATGTTATCCCCCCAATTAAACAACCATAAACGGGGTTTATTAATCCAGGGTTGACATTATTATATAATCATCTGGGAGTTTGAACATTGCTCAACCATCTGCTATGTTCAAAAGTTTTTACTAGCATACAATAGGTCAATGGCCATTTCAGGATCCTAAATTGGAGGTACCTACCATATATAAGGCCTATGTAAGGCCTATGTAAGGGAATATCCCCACAAAATATGGCCTTATATGGTACAGTACCTCCATTTTAGGATCCTGGAATTCCCATTGAATAGGGTTTCCCCTCACATTGTCATCCATTCTCCGACAAATCTGGAAAAAATGGTGTGTTTTGAATCCACAGATGCCAGCACCTCTGAGATTGTTCAAAGGCCTCCAACATACCCCAGTAATTTGATACGGGTGTGTTTGAAAATAGTGTACCCCTAAACCCAATGGTTAATGATCATTATCCCTATTAAATGGCTATAATTGGGAATATACCCTATTTTCAGACAACCCCATACTGAAAAAACATGAAGAACATTGACTACTAAAAGAGTCATGATAGACCATGATGCCTGTGTATTGATGCTTAAAGTCTGCCAGTTGCAGAGGATTTTCGATTTTCTGCGGATCAGAGAAATCCAAAATTTAAACAGACATGTTCAGGGTTTTCAACATAGTTTTTGGATGTTTTTGGTGCCACTTCCCAGTTAGTATAGATCAACACCCACATGTCCAGCCTTCCAGTCTTTCCAGTACTTCCCTTTAAAACACGACAACGATTTTTGAGGGCTTGAACTACCTGTAGTTTCAGATTGCTTTCATTATCTAAATATATCCCATATGCTCCATGTATGTAATATTTACATATATTTACCTACATCTGGGTGATTTTTATGGCAAATGTTGGTAAATATTCCATACATATAGCATATGGGTATATACACATATCTAAATACGTATTTTATGTATACACATATGGTTACTATTGACATGCAAAGAGTTCTGGTAACATTTCTTCAACGAATTGAACAGATGAAAGTTTCATTGCAGGCCTGAGCGATCTCACTGGCACAGTTCCAGGATGTTCCAAAGCCTAAGGAATCCTCTACGGAGTCCACGGTGAAGCAACAAACTTCTGGGGCACTACCCTCTGGTAAACATACAAAAAGCTATTGAACATGACCATAGAGTGGATTTTCCCATTGAACATGGTGGATCTTTCCAGTTCGTTTTGTGAACGTTTACCAGGTCGGGTATGTATATTAGGTGATGTTAATCAACAAAATCATCAATATATTATAAATCCATCAAAACTATCATCAATACTTATGGATATATATTTATATACCAGAGGGTATGTATATTGTGTGTTTTGATGATTTATGGATAGTTCAAATTCACATCGACCACATCGACCACATCGACCTCACAAGGAGCTCACGAAATGGTTATGATGGTTCATTGATGGGTTCATCCTAAGCCGCCCTTTGTAAAGTACAACCAAAACATATTCCCACTAGATATCTACAAAAGGGTTTTACAACGACAAATCAGAAACAAATCACCAAAACACATTGGGTGAATCCCATATTTTTTAATATTTTGTAGATTTCTAGATACATTTTCCGTTGATCCACCACTAAATATTAAACATAACGTAGGCCATTTTCCGTTGATCCACCACGAAAAAAACCATCGGTTGAACCATCGGTTTTACACGTTGAAATCCCGGAGGTGATGCACGAAATGCCCCAGTCATAGATGGCTTATCCTTTGGTTATGTCAAACAAAAAGCTATTGAAAATGGCCATAGAAATAATTGATTTAATGATTTACCCAGCTATACCCAGCTATAAAATGGTGATTTTCCATAGTTGTTATGTCAGTTTACCAGAGGGTACACGCTTGTGACTAATGGATACGAGGCGTGTAAACCATGATAAACCACGATTCCTTCGGCCTGCGCATCTAGTGCTGGTGATGGTGCTGGAGAACTTCTGGCGGGGCGCGTAGAGTCAAGCCGACGGCGATGGGCAAAAGCGCGCCGACTGCGGGGTAGCAGGCCCCGTCGAGAGTGGTTTAACGCCAATGAGAAGGGTTCAATGGGGTAAATGGGCGGTTTTAATGGATGTAGCCGACAAGAATGGTGATTTGATGAATACAAGTGGGATTTAATGGAATAATTGTGGAGTGATGATAAGAATAGGGATTAAGCCCTACATAGCCCTACAATTTGAGATATCATGTGGGGATTTTAAGAGCCACATTTGGGGATAATGTGGTGGTAAACCCAACGCCATAAACCCGTTTGTTGTGATGTGGACGAATGAGGGATTCGAATGGATTTGACATTATTTGGCATACGGACACGGGGAATTATCACATGGATATGAAACGTGAAAACATTTGGAATTTTAATTTGGATGTTTTGTGGAAAACAAACACATGACAACACATGTTTGATTCAAATTTATTTTGGAATAAGTCAATTGTTTTTTAGGACTTTGCCGAATGTTAAAATGTTGGTCCATTCTGATTTTACCGGGAGGGTGACCGGGTGAGGCTGCAGATCTATCGGTCCTAGTTGCTGACCAGGTTCAATCCATCATCTGAAATGGTCAATGTGTGGAATTGTGGAGAAAATGTGTGGAATTGTGGAGAATATCCATAATCTGTAGACCATCAGGAGACATCAAGTAGTTCATCACGAAATGTTTAAAAATAGCAGAACTCAATTGTGGAGATGCCTCGGCTAGTGACTGACTATTGGCTGATGTGGGGAGAGGCGTTGAGGGGAGGCTAACATAGAACATGTCAACTCCGGATCAAGAGGGCCCTGAGTTGGCCACTGGGGCTGGGTACGATGTAGTGCCCATTTCTCCCTTGGGGAGATTAAGGATATCCTGTTTGGTGGTTTGGAACATGGCTTTTATTTTCCCATATATTAGGAATAATACTCCCAACTGACTTTCATATTTTTCAGAGGGGTAGGTCAACCACCAACCAGATCATTATTAACCATCATTAACCATATAATAACCATATATTAACCACATAATAACCATTATTATATCCATCTTGATTTACCGAGCAGGCTAGATCTCCATCCCGGGTTGGCATGACCGTCATGATCCGTCATGTCATGCTCCCGTCAATATATACATGTATTACCATGTATTGCCATGTATTAAGTATTAACATGTATATCTCCCGGAGATTCCTGAATATCATTGAAATTCATGGTAAAGGCTACGGTTTCATCCGAACATGTTCCCTTCAATCCCGAAAGGGCCGCCTTTTTTTGGACACCTCCTGGCACAAGGATCGAACCCCCATCCACGGCCATGGTACACAGCAAGAAGAACTTCGGTCATATACCAAGCTCAGAAAAAATGACCATAGCTTAGACCCTTGAAGAATCTTCAACTTGAGTGATTTTTCGCTTTTGGAGCAGTTGGGTTGTTTACTGAGAGCAGAGGCCACTACAGACCTTACCCTGGGTCTTATGAAAAAACCATCCCGGACATCCCCCAAAAAGCAGGTGGATCAGTTAGTATCCCCCATTTTTGGATCAGTTAAATTATTCCTTTTCTGCTGTGTAAGTCTCATTTTTTGGATCACTTGTATGTTATCCACATGTTTTGGGTCTTTTCTTTTCTCCATCTATTGTTGTTGTCTCTTTCTGTTGGTCAATTATATATACGTATATCTTAAACCCACATACATAAAACCTATCAAAACCAAACCGTTTGTTGGTTAAATGGTTCCTTTTTCTGGTACAATACATTAATTTGTCGTCCAATCCGTTTCGCCATGCGCTTTCCTTGGCCTTTTCTCCTCCTGGCCCTGACGGCGGCTGCCGACGAAGCGGCGGACGTTGCGTGCCTTTTGTCGGCGCGGCGGCCGCGTCGGAAGCGGCGGCACGAACGACAGCGTCGTGGTATGCAGCGGTGGGCCGCGGGTAGGGAGGGAAAAGGCGGATGATTCAACCAATAAAAATGGTGATTTAAGATGATTTTAGCAAAAATAATGTGTTAAATTGATTCCAAATGTTTAACTGTCAAAATGACGAGGATCAAGACAGCCAAAAAAATGAGGACATAAGTGATCATATGATATTATATGCCTCCAATAATCAAGCATGGCATTGTTTGGAGGTGCCTCGTCTATAGGGACCGGTTCAATGGGATTTTGTAGAGCCCTAGCAAGGTGCCAAGGTGAAATTTCACAACCATAGCGAGGCGTTTTTGAGAAAATCTGCAGGCAACGTGGTAAAACTTCACCCAGTGTTTCCGAAAAAAATATATTTCCTCAACAAAAATTGATTCATCCGCAGTTTGCTATAGGAAATCATTGAAAACTGGAGGTATTTTTCGGGGACTTTTCGGCGTTTCCTTAAGCAAGACATGCGGGAAGTAAGTAGCGGGATCCTGGGGACGATACCATGTGTGTGCCAATCCTCAATGGATGAGTAAAAAGGGTTTAAACACAGGGTTTCTCCCATATTTCATGGGGAAAACCATGGGAAAACCATGGGAAAACCATGGGAAAACCGGTTTGTCGATATGTTAAGATGTTCCCTTCACTCCAGTGAAATTTTTACTGGGCTCCTGCTGTAAGCCCAGCGTATTTCAGGTATCAACAAGGCGACAAGAACCTTTCGGTTCCTTGGCGGTTCCTTATGATCAATGGGAATATCCCCTGAAAATATGGCCCAAAATATGGTACTAACGTATATAATCTAACGTACCTCCATTTTAGGATCCTGAAATTCCCATTGATATGATGATATGTTGTTTTTTTTTCGATGTTGTTGCTCTTTTTCTTGCCCTGTTTAAGGCAGAGTTTTTTGCGTTTATCGCTGGCGAAAAATCAGCACAATCCGCTGTCCCCGGAGTTTGTCAACTTGTCAACCCCGACGGATTGTAGGATGTTTCATGGAAGGTGTCATTTTTTACTGGCAAATGATGTTTATTTCAGGACATCCTGATTACCCACTGGTTATTTGTGACATAGCCATGGAAGCCATGGTCCATAGATAGATGGTTTACCTATTAAAAATAGTGATTTTCCATGGCTATGTAACAAATAACCAGATGGTAATTGAATATTGAACCAGACTTCGTTCAAGGAAAGCACCTCGGAAACTACGACTATCTACCCTTGTGTCAAGAAGCTAATACAAAACAAGGTCGGAAACCAAAACCCCAGCTTTGGAAATTGAAGAACACACTGCATACATTTGAAACAACCATATAAATTCAGACAGTACACATTACGGTTCTCAATTCGTCACCTTTATTACAGCAACGAAATTAAAACACTCTCCCATTCCCATACCCAGCTCTGGGCAAAACCCGCCTGTGCATCTGGAGGTCAGATGAAAACGATTTCTCATACCATCTGGTTATTTAACATAGCCATGGAAAATCCCTTATAAATGGAGGTTTCTAGCTGGGAAAATCATCTATAAATAGGCCATCTATACCATGGCTATGTTAGTCATAACCAGATGGTAATATGTTCAGTAGATCGCCTATCCACGAGCATCAATCAAGCAACGGAGACCGTGAAAAACACCAGCACATTACCCTCTGGTAAACTAACATAACTATGGAAAATCACCATTTATAGTGAGTTTTCCCATGAAAAATTGTGATTTTCCATAGTTATGTTAGTTTACCAGAGGGTAACCTTCCAAAAATCGGCGTGTGTCATTTATGGTGGGCAGAGCTTATGCGGAGTCTGGCCGATGCGCGCCAAGCACGCACTTCTTCCCCCAAGGGCTGCGCAAATTCAAGGAACTTAAATATGCTTCTCCAAATGGATTTTTACAGAGAGGCCACATATTCCAATGCTACGTTACCCTCTGGTAAACATACAAAAAACTATTGAACATCACCATTGTTAATAAGTAAATCAACTATTTAAATCAACTATTTCTATGGTCAATTTTCCATAGCTACTTTAGTTTAGGTAAATCAACTATAATAGGTAAGTCAACTATTTCTATGGTTAATAGGTAAATCAACCAGAAGCTAAGTTTTTTGAATGGTATTTGGCGATTCCAACAGTATGTTGTTTGGATTCCTCATATGCATTACCACGCCGCGGAGACCGACCTAGGATTGGCACTATGACAGCGAGGGTGCCTTGGCATCATGTTTCCAGCGGTTTAATGATCAACTATGTACTGATCAAAAAAAATGGTATGGGAACCGAATTTAGATTTATGTTGGTTGAGGATGAGTGGTTAAGGTTTTCTATTACTAATACTAATATTACTAATACCCTTAATGTCTTCTTAATCACTGTGGAATTTCAAAAGCTAGGAGCTGGAGATCCCGTTCTTAACCAAGCAGATTAAATGGAATGCTGTTGCAGTTTTTTGATCAAATTCCTACAAGGTGGTACCCACGAAGAATAGATGAGGGGTTTCAAGACCAACTTTTGACTGGGGGGCACCGCCTACCTGACAGTCACCAGTCCTTTTGTTTTTGGGGTTCTAAACTTCAAACGACCTGGGGTGCATTGCCTCAGCTACATGAAATTTAGTTAGGGATTGGGGTAGTGAGTCAATCACCTCAGGGCCCTTGGCGACGAGGATGGCGGAACTATGTATTACATCAACATGGTGCATCGTGATATCGCATTTACCCTCTGGTTATGACTAACAGTTCGCCATGGAAAGTCACCATTTTTTATAGGTAAACCATCTATTTCTATGGGCCATCTATACCATGGCTATGTTAAATAACCAAAGGGTACTTCTGAATGTTGTTTCTTTGGGGTTGGTTTCAGAGTTATTTACGGTTTCACCAGGGTTTGTCTTAGGGCTGGTTCAGGGCTTCTTTAGCATCGGTTCAGGGTTGTTTCAGGGTGCATTAGGGTCCTTTGTTTGGGGAGTAGATTGGAGGTTTGCTTGGGACAAGAACATCCTTGCCTTGCACTTGCACACCTTCTTGAAACCCGCCCACGCCTACTTGATGCTACATGAGAAGTTCTGTTCTATTTCCACGAGAACTTAATCCTACGTTGCTTACTTTACCTGATGCGTTTTCGTCCCAAGAACTTCTCTTGCGTTTTCAGCAACGTTAAAAGCTTCTCTCGCACTAACTATCGGACTATCGCAATCCCGCGCCAGAGTTTCATGATCCGTTTTCTTTGTTTCACAATCTCTCCCCAGACTTTTACAATCTGTCTTCAGAGTTTCACAATCTGTTTTCAAAGTTTCACAATCTCACTTCACAGTTTCAAAATACGAGTTCGAAATTTCAAAATAACAGTTTCACAATCCGTCCTGAGAGTTTCACTATCCAAGTTGCGGAATTTGTCTTCCAAGTCTCACAATCCGTTCGCCAAGTTTCACAATCCGACGTTGATCTTGGTTTAGGGTTTCTGTAGGGTTTGTTTGAGGGTTTGTTTTAGGGTTTATTTTGTCTTGGTTTGGGTTGTATAGATGGTTGGTTCAAGGTTTATTTAGGTTTGGTTTAGGGTCGAATTATGCCGTCGTCAGGGTTTGTTGTATAGGATTTGTTTTAAGGTTTGTTTGGGGTTTCCTTTGGGTTGGTGTAGGGTTTTTTCAAGGTTGGTTTTGGGTTTATTTAGGGTTAGTTGCGGTTGGTGTAGGTTTCGTTTAGGGTATATTTTGGCGTGGTTTGGGGTATATTTCGATTTGGTTTATGGTATTTCTTTGAGGTTGGTTTGGGGTCAATGCAGGGTTTCGTCCGGATTTGTTGTAACGATAGTTTAGGGTTTATTTTAATTTTAGGGTTGGCTGAGGGTTAATGTAGGCTTTTGTCAGGGTTTGTTTTAGGGTCTCTTTAGGGTTTACTTGGTGTTGCTTTGGGCTTTCTTTAGGGTTTCTTGAGGGACTGTTTGTTGTTGACGTTCCGTTTTCCCATTGGTTCCGCAAATCTTCTCCTTCCGGCTTCCAAAGGGTGACCGATGATGGTCTCCCTGCCTCCTGTGGTGTGCAGTGGTGATGTGGGGTTCTCGACGCCGACATTTGGGGCGACTGACTCAGGTAACTGACTCTGACTCCCCCCAGTCTTTTCAATGTCAGACCTTGCCATTCTTGGACGCCAAGGTTGACCCACACACAGGTAGGTATATGGCAGTGTGTCAAAACCTTTTACCCCTGGTGAACATCAAAATAGCTGGTAAATGGATGTTCATTCCCCTAAAAATGGTATTCATAGGTATTGATCCATACCCATATAGATTTCAATACTTAGTAGCAACTTGGAAATCGATCAAAAAATCAGTTTGTGAAATATCATTTGCCGATTTGCCATGAATTTCTCAGAATGAGCAGGTAAATAAAGAGTAAGTCGGGGACAAGATACGACAGTCCAAAACCAATCAAAAGTTGTGTTCGATCGTGATCGCAAATGTGCCTATGCCCAATGAAAGGTGGTAGTTACAAAGGGGTTTTAGAGTTTGACACCACAAAAACATACATGCATGGTCCATATGGATTGGTCCAATTTGGTGATGAAAATGATCGATCAAAGGGGTCATCCATATGGCGTTCGAAAATGGATTGCCAATGGACTCACAAGATTTGTAATTGTTTGTATTTAACGCATTTTAACGAATCATTGTTTTGGGAAATTGACATCTATGACACTTATGATGACTTTTGATGACTTTTGAATGGTTGAGTCATTCCCAGCAATTCACCCAGCTGGCCGAAGAATAGTGGTGTTGGTTTCAGCCTCAGCATCTGCCACCGTGGTTTTCAAAGAGGATCATCCCACGGCTGATTCGGAGAGAAGTTTGTTTGGCACGTACAAAAGACCTGGTTTTTTCATACCAAAACCATCCAAAAACGATCCAAAAACGATGGAAAGATTTCCGCAAAATTTATAGCTGGGTAGTCATGAAAAACTTTTTCGACTGGGCCATGGCTTCAATAGCAAGCAGTTAGTTGACCAGGCCGGGTAACTATTAACCATTAACCATAGATTAACCATAGATTATCCATATATTACTCTAGAGGGTAACTTCCACAACAACTCAGCAGATCTCAGCAGATCTCAGCAGATCTCAGGTGGCACACGTCAAGACATCATCATCGACAAGAGCGAGGTCTATGGGAATGTCATTGCTGGCAACAATGCTGGTGACATCCACTCAAACTTTGTGGAGAATACGGTTCGTGATCGCAGCATCAGTGCTGGTGATACGGAGTTTCTTGGTGGTTGTGGATCGGTTAAGTCATGAAAAATCCCCGAGTCACAATGGTTGTTTCTACAGTAAAATATGGTCTAATCGTGGATGGTCTGGGGGTATTGGTATTACCCATTTTAGGAAACTTCCATTTGGAAGGTGTCAAAGCCTGTGACTGCTCACATGAATGGCAAAAAAATGGGGAAAGGGGGGAACTGGGACAAGA